TATTCTTTGGAATATTCCTGCCTTCTGTAGATCCTTTTAAAATACTCCCTCCTTGACAAAGTACTTGAGATAGGACTTTCAACCTAAGCACATGGATAAAATTTGTTTGTGGTATATTTTCGTGATTTTATTTAAAGTAACTGCATTCACACTCATGTGTCCATTAAATAGTTGAGTTCGGTCAATGAGCTTAAAAATAAAAATGTGTACGCTGAGAAAAATTTTAAATTCAATTTTTACACATAAAAAATATTATTTTAGTTACCATTTTTTTTTTTTTTTGAAAAATTATTATTTAAATAATTTGTGAAAAATGTTTTGTTTTTACTTTTTTTTGGGCTAACCACTTTAAAAAATTCCAGTATGGGTTTCATGTTGAAAATATATATTTTAAATAAGGCAGTCTATTGGTAGATTCTGAAATTATTTTTGAAAATTCCGTTTGTTAATGATAAACATTGAAAATGTTAAATTTTGTTTATTCGTACCATGGTGCGTATGACTATTATTAATTACGAGTAATTTTAATAAATCAGCAATAACTTCGAAAGTTACTGGTCAATTTCAAATTTTAAGACATTTTTGTAAACTAGACACATTGGTCTTCCACCTTAGTATTTTTTCTTCCTTGATCGTCATTCGTTTCTGTGTTAAATAATGCTTACTAAAATATTTTTTTTTTTTTATTTTTGAAAAAAAATTAAATCTTTCTCTCAGTGTATTTTTATGTCAGTGTGTGAGGGTGTTCCACATATCAATATTTTTTTAAATGATATTTGACCAAAACAACCAATTTTACCAGCCAGCACATTCCTACCCATGATGATGATAGTAACTATCGAGTCGATGTAAACCTGGTTTCGAAACGAGAACAATTTTTCCCCTCCATTAATGTTGTGGATGAATGTTTTTCCATGGAAAAACCCATAAACAGTAATTGTATTTTGGACGGAATATGAAACTGTGCTTGTGGGAATTATACAAAGCGAACTGATGATGGAAATCAGGTAGCCAGTGAGCGTTCAATGGAATGTTAAGGAGGGGAGATTACAGCACCTTGCCATCAAGGTAATTTCGAAGAACAATATGAAAATGTATTTTTTTCGGAACTTCTGTTGGCAACAGTTTTTGATTTCGTTTTTCATTACGTTCATTAGAAATGTTTTAGTTTTTTTTTTTAATTTAAAAACAAACAATCATTCATGATTTTTCATGTTTAACATACATGAGTAAATTATCTTGTCCTGCTGTAAGGACATCAAAAATTGTTGATGTTGGTTATTTTCAATCTTTAGTTTTCATCTTCTACCTACATAGAAAGGTGAACACACAAATTCCAATTTCATTTTGCTATGACATACCAATTTCAATTCTATTATTGTTTTGGTTTATTTCTTTCTACATATGTTCCCACAAAGAGTAGGCCAAGAGACTTCTGTTATTCCTTATATGTATACGCACAGCAGGTGGTAGTCCCATTCTTTCCCTTTTACTCTTTTGAAGTGTGTGTGTGTTACACACACACTGACACTTGACAAAAATATAACTCTTGCATGCAAAAACTAAAAATGTAAAAAATTCCAAAAGAGAATGGACAGAAAGGGAGGGAAATATGCAAACCAAAAAAACCTCCTCCCAATCCGCACCATAACAAAAAAAAAAACTGTAACGCAATGAATTTCCATTTTAATTTGTTTTTGTCTGGCTTTGCAAAAATGGGATATATTTCCATGTTATGTTTTTCATATCGTTTTTTTTTTGTGCTGAGTTCCTATTTGCATTTCTGGTATGATACCTGTCCAATTTCATTGTTTTCACCAGCACAGCATCAGCTGCAAAATGCAAATATGAAACTCCGAATCGGAATTGTTAATTGAAATTGTATACATGTATATTTGTATGAAACCAAATTCCATTCATCACTCTCTGCCCTTGTTCTCTATTACGGGCAGAATTCTGGGATTAATTATGCTCAAAGCAAGTAGGTAGTCAAAAAAATAAAAATTTCAAGTTACGATGTGAAATAATATTCTTTAAAAATGTCCATATTTTACGAAGGTCAATGAAAAATATTTAAAAAAGAATCTCCTGAGAGTGATTATATTTAAATAAATTAAAATTTCACTTCTATGGGCCATGGTGCGTATGACTATTTTTAATTATGAGTATTTTCAATAAATCAGCAATAACTTCAACAGATCTTGGACAATTTTTAATTTTAAACTGTTTTTGAAAACTAGACACATTGTTCTTCTAACTTCATCACTTTTCTTCCTCTAACCTCATTCGCTTCTAATCATACAATGCTTATTTATTTGGAAAATATTTTTGATCCTGTAAAATATTCTTTTATATTTTTTTTGCCAAAGCTTTAAAATGTTTTCCTTTTAGGAACAAAGTTTTTAATGTCCTTTAATAACACACGGACTTTTGAAGATCCGGAAAATATTAAAAAAAAAACAGTGAGCGGAGCAGTATAGTCTGACGGGGCCGACCATATGTTACCCTACATAACATCCACGAAAAACTAACTTTCTGTGGATCTATAATCTGAGCTTGGGCAATATTTGGCGATTTTTGAACCATCTGGTCCAACTAGAGGCCGACAATTATTACTAACGTTCAGTACAGCCCTTCTAATTACTTGTCCAGATTCTCTTCTCTTGTGTTGTGATCTTCTTATTCCCATTGGAGCCTATAGATCGACTCGAAAAAACACAAAAAATTAAGTTTTCGGTCCACTTTATCACCATATAATTATCTGATCGTCACCGAAAATTGTAAGCGTTATCCTTGACATAACCGGAACTTCATGGAACATTTTAAAGCGATCAGCGCTATATTTCCGCCCTCTAGTGTGGTAAAGGGTTACTAAATAATATCTGAATACATAAGAACCTGTAAATATTTAAGTGTAACTCCCACATCTGAGTACATACGACCATTTGGTATCAATTTAAAGGTCAACCACTGCCCTTGGATGCACCAACAACTCTTCGGGTCTATGTCCTTCAGGGGTAAATCTGTACGCTGTAGAATAAAAATTTTGTAATTTTCACACAAAAGTCAGGGTCCATTTGAACTGCTAAATATTGGCCGATCATAATCAAAACAGGCATGCCTATTCTTTGGCCCGATTTCCTTCTCTATGCAAAAATTCGTGTTATTTGGACCGTAATTGCGGCCACTAGAGCGACCAGAAAAACCGATAAAAATTAAGTATTTGATCCATTTCATCTCCTAGATATTTACCGTTCTTTATACAATAGGGGTCTTCATTGGCCAGAACCCATCCTACATGCATAATTTCGTGAAGATTGGTCCAAAACTGTGGCCTGTATCGTGTTTACAAAATATAATGGACAGACGGACAGACGGACACACATGTCTAGATAGACTCAGCTAGTCGAGATATGACGATCGGTATACTTTAAGGTCTAGGACAAATATTTCGCGGCATTACAAACTCTTGGGGCTGCACAAAGCTATAATACCCTGACAACATAGTTGTCCAGTATTTGGTGAATTCGGAAAATTTTTTTTAATGCCATTTTTTGTGGATGCTGAGAAATGTTTCCAGTAATCCAAGGCTTTGATAGATCCATACATTTTTTTCATAAAGCCCCAACTAGTTAAATTTTATTCCTCCGAACAATGGTGCGTATGACTATTTTTAATTATGAGTATTTTCAATAAATCAGGGATAACTTCAATAGATCTTGGACAATTCTTAATTTAAGACTATTTTTGAAAACTAGACAAATTACTCTATCAACTCCGTAACTCTTCTAACTTCCTGAAAAATATTTTTCTATAAAAAAACAGCCTGAATGAGACCCGAAAAATATTTTTTTTATAAAATACCAACCTGAATGGCCATTGAAAAATATTTTTCTATAAATTTTTTTTACTACATAGTTTTCCCCAATTTCCTCCATCACCCAGACCAAAACTTCTAGATAAAGTAATTAAAAATTCATTTCAATATTTTCTCTAATAATAATTTGATAGATCCAGAATTGTTTTTTTACATAAAGACCCCACTAGTTAAATAAAAACCATAAAAAATTAAATTTTATTCCTGCGGACAATGGTGCGTATGACTATTTTTAATTATGAGTATTTTCAATAAATCAGCTATAACTTCAATAGTTCTTGGACAATTTAAAATTGTAGACTATTTTTGAAAACTAGACAAATTACTCTACCAACTTCGTAACTCTTCTAACTTTCTGAAAAATATTTTTCTATAAAATCCCAGCCTGAATGAGACCTGAAAAATATTTTCTATAAAATCCCAACCTGAATGGGCATTGAAAAATATTTTTCTATAAAATTTTTTTACTACTGATCTACCACATAGTTTCCCCAATATCCTCCATGACTCAGACCAAAACTTCTATATAAAGTAATTAAAAATTCATTTTAATATTTTCTCTAATAATAATTTGATAGATCCAGATTTTTTTTTCTTTTACATAAAGCCTCCACTAGTTAAATAAAAACCATTAAAAAATTAAATTTTATTCCTCCGGACAATGGTGCGTATGACTATTTTTAATTATGAGTATTTTCAATAAATCAGGGATAACTTCAATAGATCTTGGACAATTCTTAATTTAAGACAATTTTTGAAAACTAGACAAATTACTCTATCAACTCCGTAACTCTTCTAACTTCCTGGAAAATATTTCTCTATAAAATCCCAGTCTGAATGAGACCTGAAAAATAGTTTTCCATAAAATCCCAACCTGAATGGTCATTGAAAAATATTTTTCTATAAATGTTTTTTACTATTGGTCTATAACATGGTTTTCCCCAATTTCCTCCATGACCCAGACCACAACTTCCATATAAAGTAATTAAAAATTCATTTCAATATTTTCTCCAATAATAATTATACAATATACCATTCAACCATGTCGAACAGAATTGGCATCATTAGCTAAAATACACAAAAAAAAAAAATTAACCATAATTGAAATTAATATATTAAGGTGATGACAGTTCTAGTTAGACCACTAACTGCCATGAAAGTTGTTCCGTGTTGTATTTTCCTGACCTTGACAATTTGCAATTTAACCTCGGCCTTGAAGGCCAAATTCACCAAATTGGAATGTTTCGAATATGATAAGCCATTCGCCACAATACCCAAATGTTATTTGAAGGCCCTGTCGCGCTATCGTACGGCATTGAATGTTCATGTGGCCCTGCATCAGGTTCCCGTGAATAATGTTTCGGTAAGGAAGCCAATTCCTAATATATTTTTTATTATTATTATTTTTTGAAATATCTCCTCTTGTCTTCCAGTTCAATGGCGCCTTTTACCAAAAAAGTAACAATGGCTATCGACCCTTGATGTACAATAACACAGTGGATTTTTGTAGTTTCTATAAAAATCCAAATCGTTTTGTATTTTGGAAAATAATATTTTTCAACATTATTGCGCCGTCATCAAATATCAATCACACTTGTCCATATAATGTAGGTTGTTCGGAATTTATAGCAACAAAAATAATTATTTTTTTTTTTATTTTTTCTTCCTAGCATGACATTATTGTCAAAAATTTAATATTAGATGGAGAAATGTTTCGAATGATACCCTTCCCGCCAAATGAATATTCGTTCAGGATAAAAGTTGCAGCCTATAATCATGATAAGGCTGAAATACGTGCAAATGTACAGATCATGGAATAAGCGGAGGATTCAAAATTAACACAATAAATGTAATTACATTTTAAAATATTACCAACAGACCCTAAAAATTTTAATTTTATTTCTCTGAACCATGGTGCGTATGACTGTTTTTAATTCGGATATTTTTAATAAATCGGCAATAACTTCAACAGATGTTGGACCATTTTAAATTTAAGATTATTTTGGGAAAATTGAGACTTTGCTCTACCAACTCAATAACTTTTCTAGCCATCTTAAAGAAAAACCACACCTTTAATGCGGCCCTAAAAATATATCACGTAAAATGTTGATGGATCCTGAAAAATATATTTTCTAATCCACCCCAGCATTTGGTGGGCCGTAAAAATATTTTTAAACTTTTCCAGCAATTGGTGCATTCTAAAAAACATTTATTTTAAAGTCCGCCTGTTGGATCCAGAAAAATAGTTTTTTTTTATACCCTTCACCACACTGTGGTACAGGGTACTATGCCTTTGTGCATATGTTTGTAACAGGCAAAAATAATCGAGATAGACCCATGGTTGCCTTTGAGAATATGCATAGAATCACTTTCTGAGTCGATTTATGCATGTCCGTCCGTCTGTCCATGTTAAATTGTAATTGAAAAAAAATCGGTTCAGATTTAGATATAGCTCCCATATATAGCTTCGTCCGATTTAAGGTAAATGGTGCACCGAAGTCCCTATATATCTTTCGATTTGCACGAAATTTAGCACAGCATTATGAATAAGGTCTAGAATGATGTGTGTTAATTTTCGTGAAAATCGGTTCAGATTTAGATATAGCTCCCATATATAGCTTCGTCCGATTTAAGGTAAATTGTGTACTAAAGTCCCAATATATTTTTCGATTTGCACGAAATTTGTCATAGCGTAATGAATTAGGTATGGAATGATGTGTGTAAATTTTCGTGAAAATCGGTTCAGATTTAGATATAGCTCCCATATATTTTCGTCCGATTTAAGGTAAATGGTGTACCAAAGATCCTATATATCTTTCGATTTGCACGAAATTTGGTACAGCGTACTGAATTAAGTCTATAATGACATGGTTTTGTGTTAATTTCTTTGTCGGATCCGGAAAAATAATTTTCTCATAAATCCACGCCTTCCGGATACTTGAAAAAATACTTTTTAATAAATCTACGCCTTAGGGCTACTTGAAAAAATATTTTTTAATAAATCCACGCCTTGGGGCTACTTGAAAAAAATATTTTTTAATAAATCCACGCCATAGTGCTCCTTAAAAATTACTTTTTAATAAATCCACGCCTTAGGGCTACTTGAAAAAATCCATTTTAATAAATCCACGTCTTCCGGATACTTGAAAAAAATACTTTTTAATAAATCCACGCCTTCCGGATACTTGAAAAAATACTTTTTAATAAATCCACGCCTTCCGGATACTTGAAAAAATACTTTTTAATAAATCCACGCCTTCCGGATACTTGAAAAAATACTTTTTAATAAATCCACGCCTTCCGGATACTTGAAAAAATACTTTTTAATAAATCCACGCCTTGAGGCTACCTGAAAAAATATTTTTTAATAAATCCACGCCTTAGGGCTACTTGAAAAAATATTTTTTAATAAATCCACGCCTTAGGGCAACTTGAAAAAATCCTTTTTAATAAATCCACGCCTTACGTCTACTAGAAAAAACATTTTTTAATAAATCCACGCCTTACGGTTAGGTCTTTGAAAAAATATTTTTTAATAAATCCACGCCTTGAAAAAATATTTTTTAATAAATCCACGCCTTGAAAAAATATTTTTTAATAAATCCACGCCTTGAAAAAATATTTTTTAATAAATCCACGCCTTGAAAAAATATTTTTTAATAAATCCACGCCTTGAGGCTACTTGAAAAAATATTTTTTAATAAATCCACGCCTTGAGGCTACTTGAAAAAATATTTTTTAATAAATCCACGCCTTAGGGCTACTTGAAAAGAATACTTTTCACATAAATCCACGCCTTAGGGCTACTTGAAAAGAATACTTTTCACATAAATCCACGCCTTCCGGATACTTGAAAAAATACTTTTCCATAAATCCACGCCTTAGGGCTACTTGAAAAAATATTTTTTAATAAATACACACCTTAGGGCTAATTAAAAAATACTTTTTAATAAACCCACGCCTTAGGGCTCCTTAAAAATTACTTTTTAATAAATCCATGCCTTAGGGCTCCTTAAAAAATATGTTTTAAAAAATCCACGCCTTAGGACTATTTGAAAAAATATTTTTTTAATAAATCCACGTTTTAGGGCTACCTTAAAAATATATATTTTTTTAAATCTTCCCCAAAGAGAAACCATGAAAAGTTAAAGTTTTCTTTCTCAGAACCAGGGTGCGTATGACTATTATTAATTATGGGTATTTTTAATAAATTGGCCATAACTTGAAAAGTTCTTGGATAATTTTAAATTTTAGACCAGTTTTAAAACCTAAGCACATTGATCTACCACATTAATAACCTTTCTAAATATTTTTTAAAAAAATTCCAGCCTTTGATGGATTCTGAAAAATATTTTTTTGAAAAATTCACGTTACACATAAAATAGTTATTTATTACTTATTCAATAATTTGTACATAGACACGTATTTCAGCCTTATAATGATTGTAGGCAACAACTTTAATCCTTACCGAATATTCATTTGCCGGGAATGGTATCATTCGAAACATTTTCGAATCCAATATTAAATTTTTCACAATAATGTCATGCTAAAAGGTCACAAAAAATTGCAAAAATTGAAAATGAATTAAAAATAATAATAATAAAAAATGTATTTTTGTATTAAATTCCCAACAACTTACATCGAATGGACAGGAGTGATTGATGTTGGATGACGGTGCAATCATGTTGAAAAATATTATTTTCCAAAATATAAAACGATTTGGATTTTTATAGAAACTACAAAAATTCACGGTGTTATTGTACATAAACGGACGATAGCCATTGCTGCCTTTGTGGTAGAGGGCGGCATTGAACTGGAGGACAGAGGGGGGGAATTTTGGAAAAAATAATATTAAAAAATAAATAAAAAGGAAAAAAATGTTTTCTTACCGAAACATTATTCACGGGAACCTGATGTAGAGCCACCTGAAGATTCAATGCCGATTGATATCGCGACAGAGCCTTCAAATAACATTTGGGTATTGTGGCGAATGGTTTATCAAATTCGAAACATTCCAATTTTATGAATTTTACTTGCAACGTCCAGGTTAAGTTTAGAATCGTCAAGGTCAGGAAGATGTAACTTGAAAAGACTTTCATGACTTTCTGTGGTAGGTCTAACCCACCAGCCATCTGAGTGATTGAATTGTTTTAATGATTGTTTTTTTTTTAAATAAAAATGAGTTTGTAAAAAATGAGTTTTATGGTTGAATGATTTTGAGTGCGTGTGAGATATTATTTTTGAATTATTCGACTTAATTTTTTAATAATTTCATACAGTCGGTTTGGTGTTGTAAATGGGGGAAAAATATAATTACTCAATTTGAAAAAATATTTTTTCAAAAAGCCCCAAGGCGTGGATTTATTAAAAAATATTTTTTCAAGTAGCCCTAAGGCGTGGATTTATTAAAAAAATATTTTTTCAAGTAGCCCCAAGGCGTGGATTTATTAAAAAAATATTTTTTCAAGTAGCCCCAAGGCGTGGATTTATTAAAAAAATATTTTTTCAAGTAGCCCCAAGGCGTGGATTTATTAAAAAATATTTTTTCAAGTAGCCCCAAGGCGTGGATTTATTAACAAATATTTTTTCAAGTAGCCCCAAGGCCTGGATACACTATTTAAATATTTTTTTGTCAAGTAGCCCATTTCAAATTGTCCAAGAACTTTTGAGGCGTGGCTTTCGGAAAATAAAAATTTTTTTTACTATTTATTAAGGCCGAAGGCTTGTTCATATTTTTCTGAATTATTAAGAAATATTTTTCAGAATCCACTACAGGCTGGGATTTTTAAAAAAACATTTTTCAAAGTCCACCAGGCACTGGCATTCTTTAAAAATTGATTACAATCTTTATTGAGGCGGAAGTGCAACTTGTCTCGTTTTCAAAAATAGCCAAACATTTCAAATTGTCCAAGAATTATTGAAGTTATCACTGATTTATTAAAAATACTCAATAATAATCGGAAAAATAAAACGCATTAATAAATCCTAATGCGTGGATTTATTAAAAAATATTTTTTTCAAGTGGATTTATTAAGGCTTAAACTAAAAATCTACCGAAGGCTTGGACATATTTTTCTGAATTATTAAGAAATATTTTTCAGAATCCACTACAGGCTGGGATTTGTTAAAAACACATTTTCAGAGCCCATCAGACACTGGCATTCTTCAAAAATTAATTTAATTAACTTGTCTCGTTTTCATAAATAGCCGAACATTTCAAATTGTCCAAAAACTTTTGAAGTTATCACCGCTAATACAATACTCTGTTGTATTAGCGGAATTAATAACACATTTGAGAAAGGATAGACGATTATATTGGACGGAGGATAGTGACACCTCCTCGTGAAGGTAAAATTTTGTAAAGGGACAATTTTTTCTAAGGAAGACAGGTTGTAGAGGGAATTATGATGGATTTGAGGAAGAATGGAATATGTGGGTGGACAGAGGAACCTTTCCATGAAGGTAATTAAAAAAAAACGAATAAAAAATAAATATATTGGACTTTCATTGTGATATTCAGCTTCATTCCATTGGATTATTTTGTAAATGTATTTTTACGAACAACCAGTAGCTTGGATTCTTTTACAGATTATTTAGAAGAGTTATTGAGTTGAAAGTGCAGAATTTTGTCTCGTTTTCAAAAATAGCCGAACATTTCATAGTGTCCAAAAACTTTTGAAGTTATTGCTGATTTATTGAAAATACTCATAATTAATAATAGTCATACGCACCATGGTTCGGAAAAATAAAACCTTATTTTTTCACTTATTATCACTATTTTTTGAGCGATCTTTAGAGGTCTTCTATTCATAGTAGTTCTTCCTCTTCCCTGTTATAGGGTGTATTGTCAGTTGCTGATGTGCGACCATTGCTTTCGGTTGTTTTATTGAATTTTAATTGTTTGTTGCTCTCGTAAATTATCTTATCATGGGACTAATTATATTTGTTTATATATTAACGGTTACAAAAATAAATATATATACCTATGTTAATTTAAAGAAAAATATTTATATACACATAATTATATTAAATATTCACAATCACTTATGTTGTCTGCTAATATTTGCTTTTATGCTTCAAGTAATTAAAAAAACACACACAGTAAAGTCATTCATGTGTTAAGTAGACGTCATTAGCATTATGGCATATGGGTCATTCCATATGATAAAAATTACATTTATGGCAAACAAATAAAGAACGAGAAAATCATTCAAATACCTAGGTGGGTACCGCAATGATCGATCAACTCAAAATTCTAAAAATAAACCCACAAGAAATTGAATATCATAGGGGAGATTCTCACGAGTGGGGCCTTGAATATATGGAGGTCCCATATATTCATTTCATAACTGCCAATTTTTATTAGCCTCGCAAAAAATATGATAATTATTCTACAACCTATCGACCTTATGAAAAATATCCCATTAAAAAATCCGAAGCTAGTGATAAACCTTGAAAAATGAATTGTTTCCTTCTCAGGACCATGGTGCGTATGACTATTTTTAATTCAGAGTATTTTTAATAAACCAGCAATAACTTCGATAGTTCATGGACTATTTTGAATTTTCGAATATTTTTTAAAACTAGACAAAATTATTTTTAACTCAATATCTCTTCCAACTAAAGTTTTAAAATAAATTCAAGCTTTTGCTAGATCTTAGGTTAGGTTAGGTTTGGGGATGTACAGTCACATATGTGACTGCATCACTCTGAAACCGGTTAGGTCTAATGTGATCATCCACAAGAAGATATACGGTGAAGAGAAGAGACCATAGACAGATCTATAGGGGAGAGAAGATTAGTAAATTAAAGGAGAGTGGAGAATCTTACATAAATGAATGAAAGAAGAATGAAAGTCGATGGCCCTATGAGTCAGACCGAAGATGTGTTACGTGCCAAGGTTGTATGTTCCTAACCACTTTATGTTTCTAATTATGCTGTAGATTAGAGCAGGTTCGGTTGTTGAGAAGAAACTGAGACTCGGTAGAAAATGAGCAGCCACTAGTCTGTGCCGCCTGTAAGCCAGGACTGGGCAATGACACAGGAGATGCTCAATTGTCTCCGTCTCCTCCTCCTCGCCAACACAGAGTCTACAGTAATCAATTGGATCAAGATCCCATTTACTAGTAAAAGCCCTGATGTTGCAGTGACCCGTGATGATTCCCGTCATCACTCTAATTTTAAGTTTTGCTCAGGTTCAACACTGAGTGCGTTATTTTGGTAGACAGAGTCGGCTAGGTTCGTTGTGCCAAAGTTCACAGGCTGTTTCGTCAAAGAATGCCTCAAAGTTCCTATAGAAAAGACATATGAGTGGTTTGATTGAGTCATCAGTTTCTAGATCGGTGGATTGGGATCCTCGTCTAGCTAGTTCGTCTGCTCTTTCATTACCCAAGATGCCACAATGTCTTGGTACCCAACACAACCGATAGCTATTGGTAAGTTCTTCCAGAGCTGCTCTACACTAGAGGACGGCTTCGGATTTGATGTAACAAGATTTGATGGCTTTAAGAGCCGCTTGACTATCCACAAAGATAGTTACCGGTTCAACGACCTCAGCATTCAGACTTTTTTTATCAATTCCGTTGCCTTCCAGATTGCGAATATTTCAGCTTGGAAAACACTACAGTTGCACTCCAGCTTGTAGGTTAACTCAAGGCCTAACCTTTCACAGTAGACGCCTGCCCCAGTACCTTCTTCCATCTTGGATCCGTCTGTATAGAAGGCCAGACCGTCCAGAGGAGGGTTACTTCGTTTCCAGTTGTCTCTACTAGAAATAACGACATCTACATCGTCAAAACCATTAAAGAAATTCAATCCTGGAAAATGAATATGACAGTGGACTCTCACATGAGTGGAACACCGGATATATGGAGGCCGCATATACTTGTTTTATCATTGCCACATTCACTCTTTATTTGCATCACAGAAAATATCATAATTTGTCTACAACCTCTCTACCCTATGAAAAATATCCCATTCGAAAAACCCCAAGCTAGTGATAATCCTTGAAAAATTTAAATTTTATTTTTCGAACCACGGTGCGTATGACTATTATTAATTATGGGAATTTTTAATAAAACAGCAATAACTTCGGTAGTTCGTGGACTATTTGAAATTCTATACCATTTTTGAAAACTAGACAAAATGACCTTTCAACTCAATAACTTTTCTAATTAATCTACGAAAAAATTCAAGCTATTGGTTGATCATAAAAATACATTTACAAAATAATCCAATCGAGGAAGGCAAATATCACAGTGAAGGTCCCATATATGTTGACTGTTTTTTTAGTAATATTTTTAAAATTACCTTCATGACAAGGTTCCTCCGTCCACCCACATATTCCATTCTTCCTCAAATCCATCATAATTTCCTCTACAACCTGGCTTTCTTAGACAAAATTTTAACTTTACAAATGTCTCGCTTCACTTGAAAACCATTAAAGAAAGACTCTCACCGTGGAGTGGAGCGCCGTATATATGGAGGTATCATATATTTATTTCATCATTTCCACATTCTGTTTCATTAGCCTCACAAAAAATATCATAATTTTTCTACAGCCTCTCTACCATATTGAAAATATCCCATTCGAAAAACCACGAAAAATTCGAAAAACCCTGGAAAATTTTAAATTTTATTTATTCGAACCACGGTGCGTATGACTATTATTAATTATGGGAATTTTTAATAAATCAGTGATAACATCATTAGTTCTCGGACTATTTTAAATTTTCGACCATTTTTGAAAACTAGACAAAATGACATTTCAACTCAATAACTCTTCTAAATAATCTGTAAAAAAATCCAAGCTATTGGTGGATCGTAAAAATAAATTTACAAAATAATCCAATCGAAGTAAAATTTTAAATTTTATTTTTCGACCCACATATTCCATTCTTTCTCAAATCCATCATAATTCCCTCTACAACCTGTCTTCCTTAGAAAAAATGTCCCTTTACATAAGTCTACTTTCAATAGGAAGTGTCACCATCCTTCGTCCACCCTAATCCTCCATACTTTCCACGTTCACTCTTTATTATACCATAATTTTTCTACAACCTCTCTACCCTATGGAAAATATCCCATTCGAAAAATCGAA